ATTGTGGAAGTTTGAAAACAGAAACAACCAAACTGGGATTCAAAATTCTCCAGCTAAAGTATAAACATAGCTTGGAACATTCTGCAGCCACACAGACATGACTATTTTGGATGAGTATTTAGTAGCATGGAGAATGATTATACTATCAAGTTTGGGGAAATTTCTTGAGGAAAAAAATTAAAATGCAAAATAACTTCTCTTAAAATATGTACACTTAGAAGAAAAAAGATGGGGCAGATTAGGAAGACTAGAGGAAAAGAATGAAGTTGTTCATGTTGTGACTTCTGTGAGGTGGAATTTTGGATGATTTAAATTTCCTTTTTCATACTTTGCAGCCACTGAGTTTTCTAATAGCATGGGGCTAATGTGGCTAATGTTTAACATTTGATTGATGTGTTTGCTAAATTCAGTGTTTTTTTCAGGTCACTCAGACTCAGACCCTTAACATTATTGTTAATGATTTCTTTCTTTTCTTAAATCCTTACCCGGGGATATTTTTTTCCATTGATATATATATATATATATATATATATATATATATATATATATATATATATAAATTTATTTTAGAGAGTAAAAGAGAAGGAGGGAAGTGAGGGGGGATGGAGAGAGAGAGACACACACATTGATTGATTGTCTCCCTAACACCCACCCCCCACTGAGGCTGAGTATTTAGCCTACAATCAAAGTAGGTGCTTTTGACCAGGATTCGAACCCACAATCCTTCAGTCCCAGGGCTGACGCTCTAACAACTGAGCAACTGGCCAGGACATTAATGATTTCCTTTAGTAAACTAAATGGACACCTGCTTTGGTTATTCATAATACTAAGGAACATGCTCATTAGTCCTGGCGCTATATTGGGGGCAAGATTCCAGCTTTCAAGGAGTGTGCCCTCCAGAAGGTGACAGAAGGCACACACAAAGCATCTGTGGCGTGAAAGGAAACAGCAGGTCTCCTGACATGGAAAAACCTCCTAGAGGAGGTAGCACTGCAGCCCGGCCTTGAAGCATAAGTTGGATTTCTGTGTAACATTTGTCCTCCTCCCCCCAACCCCCAAGTCTCTAAGAAATAAGTGTTTATTGTAGAAAATAGGAAAATGTGGACGATGGTAACAGACACTTTTAGGGTTATTATCATGTGTGGGACACTGTTAAATCCCGTGTATGGAAACATCTCCTTTAACTCCACCCCAATGGGGGTATTTATTTTGTGCATTCCCAGTACAAGAAAAGGAAGGGTAAAAGAGAATGAATGAACACTGGGTGCATCATCAAAAAACTGACAGAGGCAGTGCTGGAACCCAAGTGGGCCTGGTGTCACCAGAAGAAAACAAACCCATGATAAGCCTGGTGCTTCCCAACCTCTTTTTTCCCTATGCCAGTGGTCGGCAAACCGTGGCTCGCGAGCCACATGCGGCTCTTTGAGTGCTCTAACGCCACTTCTTCAAAATAGACTCACCCACGCTGAAAACCAACTTCTGCTCATGGGCTATGAAGTTTCAATCGCACTGTACATGTGTGCCCGCACGTGTTATTCTGTGGAAGAGCCACACTCAAGGGGCCAAAGAACCCCATGTGGCTCTCGAGCCACGGTTTGCCTACCACTGCCCTATGCACAAGGCTTGTCCACGGTTCTCTTGCTGCTTGCACTCTGCTGAGCGGTCATCACTCACGCATTATCAGTGCATAGATGGTAACTGAAGGCATAGGAGTGGATGAGCTCACAGGGACAAGAGCATAGAAGAGAAAAGGTCCTGGGAACAGACCCTGAGCTACAGGGATGGAGACACCTCCCCAGGTGTCCACAGCTCTGGGCTGGGTGAAGAGCAGGTGGCATTGAGGAAAACTTCACAGGGGTTGCTAATCTTGGAGCTGAATCATAGAGGATGAGAAGTTCACCAGGAGGAGAAAAGGAAGACAAGTGTCCCGAGCAAAGGGAACAATGTCTGCAAAGGCATATAAGCTACAAGGGACAGTATGGTAACATGGAAAACTGGAGCACAGGGTGTGTGTGTGGGTATGTCTGTGTGTTCACTCATGGGTGTGCAGGTGTCTGTCTGGGTCTGTGAGTATATCCAAGTATCTGTGTTTAACAGATGTGTATGTATCTGTAGTGTGTGAATATATCTGTGCCTGTGTGTCTACGTATGTGATGATGGAGAGGCTACAAAAGAAGGTAAGGTTCAGATCATAAGATCATCTTTTTTTCCTTTTTTTTTCTGTTTTGTTTTCTATTTTTCCATTTTTTTTCCTTCGATAAGATCATCTTATTAGATAGGTTTCCAGATATATATTGGTTCTGGTTCTCTAGAAAAACAGAAAAAATATATAGTTTTATTATGAGTAATTGGCTCGTGGTGTTATAGAGGCTGAGAATTTGATGTTTGCAAGCTGGAGACCCAGAAAAGCTGGTGGTGCAATTTAGTTCAAGCTTGAAAAGCTGAGAATCAGGGGAGCAGATGATGTCAATTCCAATCTAAGGGCTGGAGATGAGACAAGCTGTCCCAGCTGAATCAGCGCTGGGAAAAACCACGTGGGGGAGGGCAATCTACCGAGTCCACAGGTTCAAATGCTAACCCTTATGGAAAGACCCTCAGAGACACATCCAGAGACATGTTTGGACGGCCACTCAAAAATTAACCATCACAATCCCTTCTGAAAGGCGTGGAATATTACAGAAAGTGAGACTGGGAACAGAGTAAAGAGACCAGTGAAGGGCACCTAATCAGTACAAACTTGATTTATCTAGACGGCAATTTATCTAGAACTTTTAAGTTCTTCTTGAGAGGAATCACAAAATCAGAACTGTGCTTTTTGAAAATTCTTGGGCTGGATGGTTTAGAGCCGTGGTCGGCAAGCTGCAGCTCGTGAGCCACATGCGGCTCTTTGGCCCCTTGAGTGTGGCTCTCCCACAAAATACCACGGCCTGGGCGAGTCTATTTTGAAGAAGTGGCATTAGAAGATGTTTAAGTTTAAAAAATTTTGGCTCTCCAAAGAAATTTCAATCGTTGTACTCTTGATATTTGACTCTGTTGACTAATGAGTTTGCCGACCACTAGTTTAGAGAAAGAAGAAGCAAGAGAGAAGGAAACCAGTTGGTAAAATATAATAATAGTCAAAGCGAGAGATGATGAGATATGTAGCTACAGGGTGAGGGTGCCTCGTCAGACAGTCTACTGGGTTATCTGGGAAAGTCTATTGTTGAACCATCAAACCAACAGTTCAGAAGTGTGTCCTTCCTTCATCTACTCATTTGATACAATACATATTTACTGAGGGCTGATGCATGGGGAACCCCTAGTCCAATGTGCAAGTTAGAAATCTTATCAAACGGAAACAACCTAGTGTTAACAGGGCCCAGAAACCAACAGCCTCGAAAGACATGAGGTGTGTGGGTAGGGGGGATGTGGGTGGGGGTGGGAATCAGTCCAAGCACCCTAGCCAGCATTGAAGGATGTGGGCTACCTTGTTACAGGAGGGGACTTCTAAGCGGAACATTCTAGCAGCCAGAGGAAGACGGTTTCCTATCCCAGGCGGGTGTTGTGTGGGAGCTGGGAGTACCCAGGGAAAGAAGATAGGTTTCTGGCCTGGTGGGTGGAGGCAAACAAGACAATGCCCTTTGACATAAATGCAGCCAAGTCACGCATAGCGTTGTATCATTCTTTAGTCAAACAGTAAACTCCCCTCGGTGCAAATTTATCCTTTTTAAGGCTGAACTGCCTGGAACCATACCCGCCAGGACAGCCAAGTGGGACAGGAGCCTTCCCTCCAGCCGCCCCCCCCTCCCCCGCTCCAGGTTTGAAGGATGGGCGCAGGGTCTTGGCTACTGACAGGTACCTAGTGACTGTGCCCCGGTGGCAGGCAGGCGGCTTAAGTCCAGAGATACAGCCTTCCGGTGGTCTCACCTCTCAGACCCCTCAGCTCGCCTGGTTTATTATTTCCACTGGGGCAAACGGGCTGAAAGAGGGCCGCCTCCATCGATTTGGGTACCCGCAGGTGAGGGAGAGTGGGGAGGGAGAAAAAAACGTGCTTCGTGTAGTAAAGAAAGAAAAAAAAAAAAAAAAAAAAAGGAAGTGAAATCCGAAACGCCGCGGCAGGCCCAAGGACCCCAGGCAGACACTGTAAGTAAGAACAGCCAAGGGGAGCAATCACCTGCCCAACCTACCCCCTTCCCGTTCTGGTACCAAAGCTGGGAGTCTGAGGGGCAGGGACAGAAGCGGGGACTTCTGCATCCCTAAGCTCTCATAGCCCACGATCCCCAATTCTCAGGGGGCTGCTCCCCACTTCCTGTAGCCTAGATTGCAGCCAGGGGGCGTGTGTGAGGGGCGGGGATGGGTGGAACTGAAAAATTAAAAAAAAAAAAAAAAAAAAAAAAAAAGGCGAGGTAATTAGCATCCTCCGATGCCATTGGCTCTCCTCGGGCCCTGCTTTGCATACGCCCGCCCCGCAGGCTGCCCGGGGTTTGCGGGGTTTGGCCGGGGTGCTCGGCTGCCGCGGTCGCTGCTGCGCTCCAGTGCAGGGCGGGCGGGCGGCGCCGAGAGAGCCCCGTGCGGGGACCTGGGAGCCGGCAGCCGGAGCCCGGAGCCCGGAGCCGGGAGCGAGCTGCCGCCGGAGCTGCTCCTGCGGCGGCATCCGAATTGATTTCCGTCTTACGAACACCGAGGCGGTGCCCGGCGGCTTGTGCAGCCGGCCCGGCCCAGGAAGGAGAGGCTCAGATACTTTTTTATTTTATTTTGGAAGGAAGCGGGGAGTCCCAGGGGTGGCCCAGCTCAGGCCCGAGCTCTGGAGGATGACTCCGGGGGCTGCCGGCTGCATCCCAGCGGCGGCGGCTCGAGGAGGCGGCGGCGGAAAGTAGTCGCACTCGGGGGCGGCGGCTGGTGGAAAAGTGAGCAGATCGGGGAGCGAGCGGACTCGGCTCTCCCCGCGCCCCGGCGCCCGCCGCTTCCCGCTGCTCCTCACCCCCGGCTCCCCGGCGGCCGCAGCATGAAGTGGCGCAGCGATGGCCAGGAGAGGTAAGAAGCCCGTAGTCCGGACGCTGGAGGACCTGACGCTGGACTCGGGGTATGGTGGCGCGGCGGACTCGGTGCGCTCCTCCAACGTGTCCCTGTGCTGTTCCGACTCGCACCCGGCGTCCCCGTATGGCGGGAGCGGCTGGCCGCCTCTAGCTGACTCCATGCACAGCCGGCACGACAGCTTCGACACCGTCAACACTGCCCTGGTGGAGGACTCCGAAGGGCTGGACTGCGCGGGCCAGCACTGCTCGCGGCTGCTGCCGGACCTCGACGAGGTGCCCTGGACCCTCCAGGAGCTGGAGGCGCTGCTGCTGCGCTCGCGGGACCCCCGGGCGGGCCCGGCGGCCCCGGGAGGCGGCGGCGGCGGCGGCCTGCCCAGAGACGCGCTGGCCAAGCTGTCCATGCTGGTGAGCCGGGCGCTCGTACGCATCGCCAAGGAGGCGCAGCGCCTGAGCCTGCGCTTCGCCAAGTGCACCAAGTACGAGATCCAGAGCGCCATGGAGATCGTGCTGTCCTGGAGCCTGGCGGCGCACTGCACGGCGGCCGCGCTGGCCGCGCTGTCCCTCTACAACATGAGCAGCGCCGGCGGCGACCGCCTGGGCCGCGGCAAGTCCGCCCGCTGCGGCCTCACCTTCTCCGTGGGCCGCGTGTACCGCTGGATGGTGGACAGCCGCGTGGCGCTGCGCATCCACGAGCACGCCGCCATCTACCTGACGGCCTGCATGGAGAGCCTGTTCCGGGACATCTACGCGCGGGTCGTGGCCTCCGGGCTGCCCCGGGGCGGCAGCGGCCCCGGCTCGGCCTCCAGCTCCGGCCCAGGCCCCGGCTCGGGCCCCAGCGCGGCCCCCGCGGCGGCGGAGAAGGAGCGGGAGGCGCCCGGAGGGGGCGCGGCGGGCGGCGGCGCCTGCAGCGCGGCCAGCAGCGCCAGCGGGAGCAGCAGCTGTTGCGCCCCTCCGGCCGCCGCCGCCGCCCCGGCCCCCGCGCCGCCCGCCGCGGCCAACCACCACCACCACCCCCACCTCCACGCGCTCCACGAGGCGCCCAGGTTCACCATGGAGACGCTGGAGCACACGGTCAACAACGACTCGGAGATCTGGGGGCTCCTGCAGCCGTACCAGCACCTCATCTGCGGGAAGAACGCCAGCGGTAAGTGCCCGCGGGCGCTCCTCCACGCGGCCAACTCTCCTGGCAAGTTGGCCTCCCTCCTCCCGTCCCCTCCCTCCCCCCCGCGTCGTTCCAGCTCCCCGAGGCCGGTCCTCGGAGGGGACCCCCGAGCTGGAGGCGGCGGGACCCCGCCTGTGGGTTCCCTCCTGGGCTCAGGCTCCTGAGGTCCGGGGTGTGAGAGCGCGCGGGTCCGCCCACCCTGCGGGGCCGCCTCCCGCCTGCTGGAGGGGAGCCCGGTATCCTGTTGGGGGGCAGGTTTGCGATCGTTTGCGCGTAGCCCGTATTTCTGCCCAATCCTTGTTGTTTTATTTTGTTTTGTTCTGACCTTGAAGATGCCAAATTCTCAAGCCCACGAGTTTGTCTCCCTGAATTCGCGAGGGGGCCCTTCTTCCCTCCGCCACCCGGTTCCCATATTTCCCCGCACCCTTGGGGCAGCCAGGGCCCCGGGTGGAAGGCGGAACCCCTGGGAGCTCAGCTGGTGGCTGGGAAGGCGGGGGAGAGGGGTGTGTGGGGAGAAGGTGCGGCGGGAAGACTGATCTGTCCCAAGTTTTTCCGGGCAGTTTGTGAGGGCCAGAGCGCACAGCTGGTGGGCGCTGCGCAGGGACACCCCTCCCCAATCTCCACTCCCAGCCCGTGCCGTTTGGGGAGCCCTGTGGCAGGAGCTGCAGCGGTTGCCACTCGGCTTAAGGAGCGACCACCAGGGGCCCGGGCAGGACGGGAGTGGGCGGGGTTCTGGAGGGGGGGTCCGTGTAAGGCAGGCGCCGCTTCCAGCAGGTTCTGCCCTTCTTCCCGCACCCCCCTGTGTTGGAGGCGGGAGCTGGGTGGGATGGAACCTGCAGTTCTGGCGGCGGAGGGGGTGGGGCTCTGTGTGTGGGGGGGGAAGGGGGAGGAGGGGTTTTGGTTTCAAGAGCTCGAGCTGGCGGTCCTCCCTCGTCTGTGAAAGCGAGCCGCGCTAGACACTTTAAAGCTTCCATTTTTCCACCGGAAATGGTAGAAGCGTAACTGGAGAGTCTAAAAGCGAAATCAAACTTTGTTTTCTAGTCGGCGGTTTGGCCGGAGGTTGCGTGGTTGGGAGCTGAAATGCAGTCTTTTCTGGGCGGATTTCATTCGTGTTGCTGCCTGTCGGCTTCCCGGGGGGGGGGGGGGGGGGGGGGCTGGGGCAGAGGCGGGGCGGGCGCGGCCGGGCCTGGGGGTACCCGATGTGTGCTAGGAAGTGCGTGCGTGTCTTTGATCCTCTCCGTGCGCGCGTGTGCGCGGCGGCGCGTGTGTGTGTGCGCGTGTGTGCGTGCGTGTGCGCGTGTATGTGTGTGTTAGGGGTGCCTGTGCGTGGGGGCCACGGGCTCCCAGAGGAACCCACCATCCGGCTCTCAGTCCCTTCACCTGGCTTTGATCACCGTAGGGGGCGGGGGGAGGGAGGAAGAAGCCTAGCAGGGTGTGTGTGTGTGTGTGTGTGTGTGTGTGTGTGTGTGTGTGTTAGGGGTGCCTGTGTGTGCGCGCAGGGGCGAGCAGGCGCGCGGGGCCCGGGGCTCCAGAGGAACCCTCCCTCGGGCTCTCAGTCCCTTCACCTGGCTTTGATCACCGTGGGGGGAGGGGAAGGAAGGAGCCTAGCCGGTGTGTGTGGTTCTGGTGGTGTTGGGGGGCGGGGAGGGCGGGGTCGCGACTTCCCTGTGGACCGGGGAGACTTTTCCCAGAGCTCTTTCCCCTCCGCTGACAGCCGAGGGCGCTACCCTAAAGAGAGGGTATCTCGAGGCTTTCCCTCCCCACCCACCCAGGAGAAATTCTGACCAAGATGGCAACACCTGGAGAAGGCTTTGATCTTTGCGTGTGTTGGATACACCTGCAAAACCCAGGCTCTTGGATGGCACTGGGTTGTTCCTTGTTTGGAACCCTAGCCCCACGGAAAGCGCATGGGGCTGACATTTCTTTCCACTGCATGTGCTCATAGGCCTTGTTCTTAGCTCCTCCATCACCATCATTTCTTTACTCTTTACTGCTCTCCCCCCTCTTCTCCCTGCTCTCCAGCCCCTCCTCACCCCAGTCCTTATCCCCAGCTGGAGTGGGAACACCCTCGTATTCCCTCCCCCTCCCCCCAAGGTTTCCTTTGGCAGGAAAAAGCAGTCCCTTTAGAGGGCTCCAGTTTGGGAATCCAAGCCCCCTGCTCACCGTGTCTGCCATTCTCTGGAAATGATGGCTTTGGCGACTCGCTTTCCTTCCCGGGGCCTCAGTCTCCACATCTGTACCATCAGGGTGGAGCTCTGAAAGACACCAAAGGTCCTCCCGTGTCTGCATCTGTTTGTGCTGGTCGCCTGTGTTTTCAAGCTGGTTTTACTTCTATGGTCTTGAACATCTTTTCAAGGCAATGTTTGTGTTTATGCTTTTGGGAGGAAGTATAATTTTAGGAAGGAGAGGGCCGGAGCGCTGGTTTTGGGCAGGGTGAGTGTGTGGTGGCTGGGGTTTGCTGTCATCACAGCATTTCCCACAGAGCTTAACTCCTGGGTTCCAGGGCCCCTGCAGCCGTCTCTTAGAGTGAGATGTACTCTCATTTCATCGTGATCTCTTCGTCTCTCTTCCTGGGCTTGTTTAAAATGGCAGGCCGTCTATGCAGAAGAGCGAAGGAATGAGCGATTCATTTCTTGGGTGTCTGAAACATACCTTAAGCATCACACCTGTTTCTTAAACTATTTGCACTGCAGTCTATCCGGGGTCTGCAAGGCTTATGAAAGAGCTCAACGCCTTACATAATAATTCCCTTCCCCCCCTTTGACTCAGGAGCATCACTTAACCATTCGTGTGTGAATTCATTTGTTCAGCCATATTTAGTGAGCAATTACCAAGTCTAAGGTCTGAGGAATAATGAGGTACATAGGCAATGACAGCTAACAGGCATCCTACACTCTGCTGTATGTCAGTCCATCTAATGTATGTTCAACGTTGCTTTGAAAGGGTACTGCTATATCCCCATTCTACACGAGAGGATAACTGAGGCACGGGGAACTGAAGTATCTTCCTTTCGTGTCTTGCTCTTTGGGGACAAATGATCTCCCTGCTTTCAGACAGCCCTTCCTGCCCTTTATTACATGGACAGCTGAAGAGACCTGTCTCAATTTATACACCTTTGTTCCTACCACACTGAACGGGACAGTGCAGGATTTTACCTTTCCCCATCCCCTGCCAAGGCCAAGGGAGGGCCTGATACACAGTTGGAGCTTATTAGATGCTTGTTGAGTTGAGCAAGCTGTTGTACTATATTGTATAATAATCTTCTGAAAGAAGCTATTAAATTTTCAGCTTCTTTTAAAAAATATTTTTATTGATTTTAGAGAGTAAGAGAGAGAGAAACATCAATGATGAGAATCATTGATCGGCTGCCTCCAGCACACCCCCCTCTGGGATCAAGCCTGAAACCTAGGCCTGCACCCTTGGCCAGAATTGAACCTGGGACCCTTCAGTCCTCAGGCTGATGCTCTATCCACTGAACCAAACTGGCTGAGGTGAATTTTTTAGTTTCTTGACTCATCTTTCCAAGTCTCTCTCTCTCTCTTTTTTTTTCTACCTCGGCTGCCCCTTCCTCCTGCCATCTCTGCACCTGTCCACCCTTCGGATTGCTGCCAAGGCCTGAGGAATCATGCAACTAGTCATGTAGAAATCAACTCAGAAAAACAAAAGATAATTGGCTCTAACTGAGGGCTTGGTCACTCTCAAAACATCACAGGCGTGGGCTTAGGGCATGAAGTTTGTGGCGATTGTTTTCCTCTTTGGAACTTGTTTTTTTGTTTTTGTTTGTTTGTGTGTGTGTGTGTGTGTGTGTGTGTGTGTGTGTGTGTGTGTTTAATGTTGATAGCTGTTTGGAAGAGCTGAGGACCCCACTGAGCATTGCATTTCTCTGGGCTTTTTAAATTTTGGCTTGGTTGATTTTGGTAAAGCTAAACAAGGAGCTGGCAGTGTCTCCCATGCTGGTGTATGCGCTAGTCATGTTACCTGGTAAACCCCTTCTGAGCTGGCCAGGTCCCACTCATCCCTGAAGTCGTGGCTCAGGAATGATCTTTCTGGCATCCCTGTGAGGCCTTCCTTGAGAAACGCCTCCCCCGCTCTCTGTACCTGGCCCTTTCACACCCTTTCCCCATCCCTTAAGAATCCTGACCCTGTTTTAAGTGTTTCCCCATCATACCTTGGCACTTCCAGTGCAAGCTTGTGTCTTATTTGTCTTTGGTCTTTGTTTCTCCTCCATATCACCCAGCACAGCACCTAGCTCTTTGTAGATGCTGAGTGCTGTTTGTTGAGTGAATATAACCGGCCCATTAAATCTTTGGGATTTAAAATTTGCCCATCAGCATCTGTAATCAGCATCTGTAAAGGCTTCTAAAGTCAGATCTTTTGGATTTGAATTTCAAGGCTGCCATTTTCTAGCTGTGTGTTCTCGGGTATGTGTTCTAACCCCTCTGAGCTCCAGAGTTCTCAGTTGTAAAATGAAAGTAATAGTTATGAGGGTCAAATAATATATATATATATATATATATATATATATATATATATATATTCCAGTCTGTTGCCTAACACATGGCAGAGGCCAAAATCCAGGCATAATCATGTCTCTTACTTCTGTGTCATCCAGATGAACTGGTCCCAGTGTGGTTAGAGCCAGCAGCGTGCAGAATTTTTAACTGGGTTCCCCTTCCCAATAATTCCAGCATCAAATAATTCAGTGTTCCCACCACAGGGATTGCTTTCAGAAAGGAAGGGAGAAGGAGAGAGAGATAGAAACATCAATGATGAGAGAGAATCATTGATTGGCTGCCTCCTGCATGCCCCACAATGGGGATGGAGCCCACAACTTGGGTATGTGCCTTGACCTGGAATGGAAACGTGACTTCCTGGTTCGTACGTTGACATTGAACCACTGATCCATGCTGGTGGTGCAGAAAGTAGTTCATTTTATTTGTTGTATTTTTTAAAGGCATTGTTAATGAAGGGGCACCAGGGAC